CACACACACCAAGGGCCCTGCGGTTGAGTGGATAGCGCTCGGGGGTCGTAGTCCTAAGGGCCCGGGGTTCGGTTCCCTGGCCGAGGCAGAAACAAATGGGCAGAGTTTCTTTCACCCTGATGCCCGTGTTTACCTAGCAGTAAATAGGAACCTGGGAGTTAGACAACTGCTACGGGCTGCTTCCTGTGGACGTGTGTGTGAGAGAGAGAGCAAGATGTAGTAGGTATGATAGAGGAAAAATTAATGGAGGGACCACTGAGCCTGGACCACTGAGCCTGGACCACTCACCCTGGACCACTGAGCCTGTACCACGGAGCCTGGACCACTCACCCTGGACCACTGAGCCTGGACCACTGACCCTGGACCACTCACCCTGGACCACTCACCCTGGACCACTCACCCTGGACCACTGAGCCTGGACCACTCACCCTGGACCAGTGAGCCTGGACCACGGAGCCTGGACCACTCACCCTGGACCACTGACCCTGGACCACTGAGCCTGGACCACTCACCCTGGACCACTCACCCTGGACCACTCACCCCTGGACCACTCACCCTGGACCACTCACCCTGGACCACTCACCCTGGACCACTCACCCTGGACCACTCACCCTAGACCACTCACCCTGGACCACTCACCCTGGACCACGGAACACTTAAAGTCAGCAACAATTTAGAAAGAGAAAGTCGGGCTTCACAAGCTACGGAGAAGGCTGGGTAGAATGTATTTATTTACAGTTTACAGGAAATATAGACTACCTTATCCAGAACCATTTGACACTGTTCTTCATGGAGGATAGTTGCACAAGAAGGAGAGGCAGGCTGGGATAACCAGGCAACCTGTGAACTGGATAAGGGAGTACCTGATGGGCGGGAAGCAAAGAGCCACAGTCAGAGAAGAGGTTTGAGGCTGGAGGGATGAAGACTACATCGCTTAAATCAACAGTTAAACTGTCACAGGGAGAGGGAGGTCGGGGCGGGAGAGGTAGGTTAAGATGCTGGGGGGAGATGGAGAGGAAGGAAGGGGAGATGGATGGTCACACCGGATGCTGTGTGTATAAAGAGGCTTTGAAGAGGCGTAGACGGAAGTAGAGAGGACAGGAAGGAGCAAAAGATGATCACAGTGGTAGATGAAGTAGTTACAGTAGAGTAAGTAGATGCAGCAGTTTCACAAGTCCAGGAGTGGTTACCGAGCTACAAACTACCTGAGATTAAGTTGAAAACTAAAAGATGTTTATGTAATTAGACGCACATTAATGAAATGTAAAGTCCAAGCATTACATACCCTTGAAGAAAAAATAATCAATGAAAATTTTCAATGTTTTTCAGAAAACCGGAAGGGATTCAGCTTATTAGCACCCTCTACCGCAATAAACAACGCCCTCTGGTAGCTACTTGAATGTTAAACTTTGGAACAGTTAAGTAAGTCCCAACTGTGTGTGGGTACAAGTGATAGGATGAACAACCTAGCGGGTGTTCTTCCTATTGGGGGGGGGGGGTGTTGTACATGATGCTTGGGGGGGGGAGAGAGGGTGTTCATTCACAGGATGAACAACGCGAGTCAGTAAACTCGCCATTTGGTGCAAATTTAAATAAAAATATTCCTCTTTATATCAGTATTGCTGCCTCTAGATCCTCTTCTGTGCCTCTTCTGGCACAGAACTTATATTGAAGTGCTTCACCTTTCCCCCTTCTAAGGTTCTTCTATTCCCGAACTTCTCCCTTCCCTCTCTAATTCCTTCCATTACATCCCAACCCTCTTCTTTTTGAGCTGGATCCCCCCCTTCTTTATAACTGGATTTATATACTGGATTTATATGCTGGATTTCCTTATAACCAGTTTAGGTTAAACCCCTTTCTGTTGAGCTGAACACATTCCCATTAATTAAAGTGAACTCATTCCTGTTGAGCTGCACACCGACTTATCGAACTGAACACCATTCCCATTCTCTTCAACCCATTTCTCCTCCTCTTCCTCAATCTCTTCCTTTCTTGACCCTCGTCCCCTCCCGCCTTTCCCGTTCTTCCTCTGCCCTCCCCCCCCCCCTCACTCCGCCACCTGTTACTGAGAGCCTCTCGTGTGTTCTCTAGTGTCAGCCTCACCCACTTCTGGGTCTCTTACCTGCTTCTCCCTCGAGAGTTAATTTCCCTCTCTTATTTGGTTACCCCCTCTTCTATTATCTCTCCTTCTTATCTCCTATCTCCTTTGTCTTCGCCTCCTCCTCCTCCTTCCAATCTATCTGTCCCATTTACTCTATCTTCTCTCTAGACATTCTGCCCCTTATCTATTTCTCACTTACCTATCTCTTCCTCCTCCTTCTTTTTCCCTTCCTACCTTATCATCCCCCCCTTACCTCATTCCAATTCCTACCTCCTCCCCTCTCCCGTTCTCTCTTCTTTCTGCCTCTTCCCCCCCCCCCCCTCTACCCTCTCCGTCTTTCTCATTCCTATCTTCTCTCCCCCCTCTTTCCCCCTTCATACCTCCTCTTATTGACCCCCCCTCTCTCTCCCTATCCTCCACTTACCCCCCCCTCTCTCTCCCTCTCCTCCACTTACCCCCCCCCACTTAACTCCCTGCCCTTCACCCCCCCCTCCCCCCCACTCGCCCATCGCCCCCCCTTCACCCCCACAGCTGCAACACGTGTCGTATGTAAACAGTGAAGACACATGGTCAACAACCCGGCCTGTGGGTTACACGTTCCTCTTCCCGATACCAGATGCAGCAGGTCCTTACACGGAAGGGGAGAGGAGGAAGGAGGGGGAGGGGAGGGAGAGGCGACGATCAAGAGGGAGAGGACGAACAAGAGGAACGAGACAAGGAAGGGCGGAAGAGAGAGACACTGGAAACACAAACCGTAACTGTCTCTATTTTCCGCTTGTTACAACTTGTAATAAAGTTGTTACATCTTGGCTTAACGTCTTTATGACGTATTAGAACGCTGTTACAACTTGCTATATTGGTTGTTATAACTGGTTAGGAGGAGTTAAAACTTGTTCGAACGTTGTACCAAGTTCGTAGTTTCGGTGTGTGTGTTTGACGGGATGTAGCAAGTAAGACGGAAGTATTGATTGATCTCGTGTGTACTCACCTACTTCGTGCTTGTGTTTAAAGATAGTGAGCTTCAGTTCCTGGGCTCCTCTTCCTCCTTCTCTGAAGCATCAGTCGTGTGGGGCGTTTCATATCCAGACGCCTGCGGCTATACCTCTCAAATCATCCTGTTACTTGTTATCATACTTGTTAAACTGTGCAGGGAGTTGACCCCTCGATTGTCGCCCTTACCCAGTGTGTTGTCACTCACTAGTCACACGCTGAACTAGGGTTGACGTCCGGCTTAAAGTCTCTCAGCCTTCAGAACGTTACCAAACTAAGCCACTAATGATAGCTTACTGCCCAACCAGCAAGTCGCCACAAGTCATTGGGTTTGTTACGGTCAGCTGATTTATTCGACTTGAGTTCAAACTGGGCTCGTTAGAGCGGCAGACATACCAGACTTATTCGTCCATTTTTAATGAACTGAGTGATAACAATTGTTTCTCTTATATATAAATTATTATATATTAGAGGGCTATGTATAGTTTAGCACAGGTTAGTTTAGGTTAGGTGTTTATAGGTTCTGTTGGAGATTATTTGTATTTCTAGTTCGTGGGTGAAGAGTTAGAGAATGGTGACTCGAACACAGGTCGTCAGCGAAGCAATGTTCAAGAAATGCTCAAACGTCATTTGCGAGTTGTGTGTAAAGTGTTTTTCGTTCTTAAACATGGGGTTGGCGGCTGGATTAACGAGCATTTTGCCGTTGTTGATGAGAACGGGCTGCATTAGTGTGTAAAAAGACGAAATGCAAGTCTCTCTCCTCTTCTCGAGGTTCCGAGCCGGGTTCGAACACTTTATAAAGCCGAGACGAGGTTACATCACAGCCACTCCTACCCCAGCCCGTCCTCCAAACAAAGACCCAAAGTCCATTCCATGCACCCGCCAAACCCCCCCCCCCCCCCCGCTGTTTATGAATGAAAAACGGTTTACACACGACTCACAACTGATGACGTTCGAACACTTCCGGAACAAGTGCTTCACTGACGAATTTTGTTCGAATCACAACGCTATAAATGCTTCACCCACGTACTACAAATAAAAATAATCGCCAACAGAACCTAAACACCTAACCTAACCTATGCCTATATATGCACAATATACTAATATATTATAATATTAATTTATATTTGAGAAAATTCCGGGTTTGAATGTTAAAATGTATGAATGCGTCTGTGGGGTCGACTGCTGGATGTAATGGACTTGAGTCGAGGACGAGTTGAAACTACAACACTGTAAATGGTTCACCCACAATACAAATACAAATAATCGTCAACATAACCTAATCAGTGCCTATATATGCACAATATGCTAATACATATACATTAATTTACATTTGAGAAAAGTTCTGTTTTGAATGAACAGCATGTTAAAATGTATGAATGCGTCTGTGGGGTCGACCGCTGGATGTAATGGACTCGGTCTGAGGACGGGTTGCACAATTGACGATGTTTGAACGTTTATCTAACAGTGCTTCCCTCATGGTCTCTGTTTGAATCGCACATAAATGCTTCACCCATATATTGTAAATACAAATAATAACCTACATAACCTAAATTCCTAACCTAACCTACGCTTAACTACATATTTAATTCTAATATGCAGACAACGAGCCACAATAACATGGCTGAAGATATGACACATCATCAGTCTAATCCAAGATATGCACATATGTATCATGAAGATACACATCAGAAAGTGAATAAAAACAACATTTCGGTCCGAAATAATAGTCAAGGTGTGTGGACCATTATCACACGGCTTGATAATGGTCCAGGACGGACCGAAACGTCGCCGTTTCTTCACTTTCTGACGTGTGGTTTGGTCAACATAATTCTAATATATAATAATATTAATTTGTAATTAAAAACATACTGAATATTCAGTAGGTTAAAATTTATGACTCATTGAGGTCGGCTGCCTCTTGGACGAGCAGTCCTCTTGGACGAGTGGTCCTCTTGGACGAGCGGTCCTCTTGGACGAGCGGTCCTCTTGGACGAGCAGTCCTCTTGGACGAGCAGTCCCCTTGGACGAGCGGTCCTCTTGGACGAGCGGTCCTCTTGGACGAGCAGTCCCCTTGGACGAGCGGTCCTCTTGGACGAGCGGTCCTCTTGGACGAGCGGTCCCCTTGGACGAGCGGTCCTCTTGGACGAGCGGTCCTCTTGGACGAGCAGTCCCCTTGGACGAGCGGTCCTCTTGGACGAGCGGTCCTCTTGGACGAGCAGTCCCCTTGGACGAGCGGTCCTCTTGGACGAGCGGTCCTCTTGGACGAGCAGTCCCCTTGGACGAGCGGTTCTCTTGGACGAGCAGTCCTCTTGGACAAACGGTCCTCTTGGACGAGCAGTCCCCTTCGACGAGCAGTCCTCTTGGACGAGCGGTCCTCTTGGACGAGCAGTCCCCTTGGACGAGCAGTCCTCTTGGACGAGCAGTCCTCTTGGACGAGCAGTCCCCTTGGACGAGCAGTCCTCTTGGACGAGCGGTCCTCTTGGACGAGCAGTCCCCTTCGACGAGCAGTCCCCTTCGACGAGCAGTCCTCTTGGACGAGCGGTCCTCTTGGACGAGCAGTCCCCTTGGACGAGCAGTCCCCTTGGACGAGCAGTCCTCTTGGACGAGCGGTCCTCTTGGACGAGCAGTCCCCTTGGACGAGCAGTCCTCTTGGACGAGCGGTCCTCTTGGACGAGCAGTCCCCTTCGACGAGCAGTCCCCTTGGACGAGCAGTCCTCTTGGACGAGCAGTCCCCTTGGACGAGCAGTCCTCTTGGACGAGCAGTCCTCTTGGACGAGCACTAAGGATTCATGGGATCCTTAGTGATACACGAGATCCTGAATGGTACATGGGGTCCCGTGTGATACATGGGATCCCAGGTGATACATGGGATCCCAGGTGATACATGGGATCTCAGGTGATACATGGGATCTCGGGTGATACATGGGATCTCAGGTGATACATGGGGTCCTGGGTGAAACATGAATTACATTACTGAATTATTATTAAACCAGTATTTTTGTCCTCAATTTGTAATCTCTTAATTTCCTGTAAGAGATGCAACAGTAAAGCAAGTTGTTGCAGAGGCCTCACGAAGGTCACTTTTTTAGCAATGCTGATGATCTAGGTGCTACTTGAGGCAGTCAAGAATGCTATGGAAAATGTGATAGAAATGTGACGAATTCAATCTTCTGGCGCCGTGGAGAGAGAGAGAGAGAGGGGGGGGGGAGAGAGGACCTGCTGCATGGGCAACAGCTTCTCCTCCGTATCAACCTACCCTGGCTTTGCGCCCTGGAGAGGCCACACCAGACCGACAACCAGAGCCCAACTCCATAGTCGCCTGAGACAGATGGCTGCCTAGTACCTCGTTGCAGTCCCCTTACCTGACCTCCTCATCCTCACGTGAAGGAAAAAATGTTCAGCAAACGAATGATATTCTTAATTGTTCTCAACACCTGTCCATAAGCTCCAGACACATTTACTGCTTACTCAAACATTGACAGAAACATCAACTTGATCATACCTTCAGAATGAGTGATTATTACAGTGTAGTAGACCTACAGCCGAGAAGAGAACAAGTCTGCAGGAATTATATACCACTAAGATGGATGCTGGATAACATATATAATACAGAATATAACTCCGATATAAAACTCTACTAATGTTTTTTTCTCACTTCATTCATGTTAGTTATTTATTATGCACCCCATAGGCATCCCGAGGGCGGTGGTGGAAAGGGTTACAGAGGCACATGTACTGGGTTCAGGAACAGTGACCCGTCTTGAGATCGGGGCTTAGTGTCCCCGCGGCCCGGCCCTCGACCAGCCCTCCACCCCAGGAAGCAGCCCGTGATAGCTGACTAACTCCCAGGTACCTATTTACTGCTAGGTAACAGGTGCATCAAGGTGAAAGCAACTCTGCCCATTGTTTCTCGCCGGCGCCCGGGATCGAACCAGGGACTACAGGATGACGCGTCCAGTGTTCTGTCCGCTCAGCCACCGGCTCCCATAGTTGGTGTGGCAGTGGAGGTCACAGTCTGGCGAGGGTGGTGACCGCCAGTGGACATGTCCAGCCTATAAGTGTCACCAAGATGCCTTTACATGTCTTATAGCCAAGTTGTCAAATAAGTCAGCTATATATATTTTATAACATATGACGATATTAACAGGTGGAGGGACAGGTGGAGAGACAGGTGGAGGGACAGGTGGAGGGACAGGTAGAGGGACAGGTGGAGAGAAAGGTGGAGGGACAGGTGGAGAGACAGGTAGAGGGACAGGTGGAGAGACAGGTAGAGGGACAGGTGGAGGGACAGTTGGAGAGACAGGTGGAGGGACAGGTGGAGAGACAGGTCGAGGGACAGGTGGAGAGACAGGTGGGATGGTTACGGGTGCAGGGGAACAGTAAGGGGGGGGGGGGGTAGGGAGGAAGGGGGATATAAAAGATGAGAAAGGCGGGGGGGGGGGGGGGTGAGATAGGGATGTAGCACAGGTGCACCGGAAGTTACTGAGGTGTTGGTGCACCTGACCTGCCCCCCTCCCCCCCCCCCCCCTCTCTCTCTCTCTCTCTCTCTCTCTCTCTCTCTCTCTCTCTCTCTCTCTCTCTCTCTCTCTCTCTCTCTCTCTCTCTCTCTCTCCCCTCCACCTGCTCCACACCACCCCCACCTCCCTCACCCCACACCAAACTCCATATTTAGTGGATTCGTGCGTTTCTGGCTGGGTTAGTAGGATGGATTTTTGACGGAGTGGCCAAATCAGGCTCACACAAACAAGCTGTGTGGGTGGTGACTGGCCTTCCCGGCCGGATGACCCTTTTCACGGATTACTTCTTTACTTAAATATTGGTGAGATTTAATTAAGAGGTCAATTGCCTGCGCGACTGCTCGTTACCTGCTCTCAAGACGTTGCTCAAGCTGTGTTCTTGTTGAGCTTTATAGTGTGAGTAGTTGAGCTTAATAGCGTGATTAGTTGAGCTTTATAGCGTGATTAGTTGAGCTTTATAGCGTGATTAGTTGAGCTTTATAGCGTGATTAGTTGAGCTTTATAGTGTGATTAGTTGAGCTTTATAGCGTGATTAGTTGAGCTTAATAGCGTGATTAGTTGAGCTTTATAGCGTGATTAGTTGAGCTTTATAGCGTGATTAGTTGAGCTTTATAGCTTGATTAGTTGAGCTTTATTGTGTGATTAGTTGAGCTTAATAGCGTGATTAGTTGAGCTTTATAGTGTGATTAGTTGAGCTTAATAGCGTGATTAGTTGAGCTTTATAGTGTGATTAGTTGAGCTTTATAGTGTGATTAGTTGAGCTTTATAGTGTGATTAGTTGAGCTTAATAGCGTGATTAGTTGAGCTTTATAGTGTGATTAGTTGAGCTTTATAGCATGATTAGTTGAGCTTTATAGTGTGATTAGTTGAGCTTAATAGCGTGATTAGTTGAGCTTTATAGTGTGATTAGTTGAGCTTTATAGTGTGATTAGTTGAGCTTTATAGTGTGATTAGTTGAGCTTTACAGCGTGATTAGATGAGCTTTATAGTGTGATTAGTTGAGCTTTACAGTGAGTTGTGTACGTGGTCAGTGACCGTAAAGGTCTGACTGTGACCTCGGGCACGGTCACTGTTACTGTGTATATACTGTGTATACTTCATTCAGTGTATACTGGCCGACTATACACTGTTGTATCGAACCCTGGTGAGTATCATGGTAACGAACCCTGAGAGACCAGGGGGCATTAAACCTGGTTCTCTAACTATGAGGGTTCTCTAAGTATGAGGGTTCTCTAAGTATGAGGGTTCTCTAAGTATGAGGGATCTCTAGGTATGAGGGTTCTGTAAGTATGAGGGTTCTCTAAGTATGAGGGTTCTCTAAGTATGAGGGTTCTGTAAGTATGAAGGTTCTGTAAGTATGAGGGTTCTGAAAGTATGAGGGTTCTGTAAGTATGAGGGTTCTCTAAGTATGAGGGCTCTGTAAGTATGAGGGTTCTGTAAGTATGAGGGTTCTGTAAGTATGAGGGTTCTCTAAGTATGAGGGTTCTGTAAGTATGAAGATTCTCTAAGTATGAGGGTTCTCTAAGTATGAGGGATCTCTAAGTATGAGGGTTCTCTTAGTATGAGGGTTCTCTAAGTATGAGGGATCTCTAAGTATGAGGGTTCTCTTAGTATGAGGGTTCTCTAAGTATGAGGGATCTCTAAGTATGAGGATTCTCTTAGTATGAGGGTTCTCTAAGTATGAGGGTTCTCTTAGTATGAGGGTTCTCTAAGTATGAGGGATCTCTAAGTATGAGGGATCTCTTAGTATGAGGGTTCTCTTAGTATGAGGGATCTCTAAGTATGAGGGTTCTCTTAGTATGGGGGTTCTCTTAGTATGAGGGTTCTCTAAGTATGAGGGATCTCTAAGTATGAGGGTTCTCTTAGTATGAGGGTTCTCTTAGTATGAGGGTTCTCTAAGTATGAGGGATCTCTAAGTATGAGGGTTCTCTTAGTATGAGGGTTCTCTCAGTATGAGGGATCTCTAAGTATGAGGGATCTCTAAGTATGAGGGTTCTCTTAGTATGAGGGTTCTCTAAGTATGAGAGATCTCTAAGTATGAGGGATCTCTTAGTATGAGGGTTCTCTAAGTATGAGGGATCTCTTAGTATGAGGGATCTCTAAGTATGAGGGATCTCTAATTATGAGGGATCTCTAAGTATGAGGGTTCTCTAAGTATGAGGGATCTCTAAGTATGAGGGTTATCTTAGTATGAGGGATCTCTAAGTATGAGGGATCTCTAAGTATGAGGGATCTCTAAGTATGAGGGTTCTCTTAATATGAGAGATCTTTAAGTATGAGGGATCTCTAAGTATGAGGGTTCTCTAAGTATGAGGGATCTCTAAGTATGAGGGTTCTCTAAGTATGAGGGATCTCTAAGTATGAGGGTTCTCTTAGTATGAGGGATCTCTAAGTATGAGGGATCTCTAAAAATGAGGGATCTCTAAGTATGAGGGATCTCTAAGTATGAGGGATCTCTAAGTATGAGGGTTCTCTAAGTATGAGGGATCTCTAAGTATGAGGGTTCTCTAAGTATGAGGGTTCTCTAAATATAAGGGATCTCTAAGTATGAGGGTTCTCTAAGTATAAGGGATCTCTAAGTATGAGGGTTCTCTAAGTATGAGGGATCTCTAAGTATGAGGGTTCTGTAAGTATGAGGGTTCTCTAAGTATGAGGGATCTCTAAGTATGAGGGTTCTCTTAGTATGAGGGTTCTCTTAGTATGAGGGTTCTCTAAGTATGAGGGATCTCCAAGTATGAGGGTTCTCTAAGTATGAGGGTTCTGTAAGTATGAGGGATCTCTAAGTATGAAGGTTCTCTAAGTATGAGGGTTCTCTAAGTATGAGGGATCTCTAAGTATGAGGGATCTCTAAGTATGAGGGATCTCTAAGTATGAGTGATCTCTAAGTATGAGGGATCTCTAAGTATGAGGGATCTCTAAGTATGAGGGATCTCTAAGTATGAGGGTACTCACACGTTTTCGTAGCAGTAGTTCTTAATATGATTTCCCCTTACCTTACACCCCAATTCCTCACCCCTCTGCCCCTCCCCCATGCCTACCCTTTCCCCTTACCCACCACCCCATTCTCCCCCCCCCTCCCCACAATCTCTCACCCCACCCCACTCCATACCCCCACCTATTGCTTCCCCCCCCCCCCCTCTCTCCCTACCACCTCACACACACAATGTTACTCACCCCTACACGTGCCTCGCCCCCCCCCAACCCCCACCCCCCCCCACAACCCCCCACCCCCACCCCCACAACCCCCCACCCCCACCCGCCACGCGTTCCTCACCCCCCCCCACC